ATGTGTTAGGTTTAGGGTTAGGTATGTACTGGTAATGGTTAGGTTATGGATAAAGGTCATGGTTAGGCTATAGAAATGAATGAAAAATGAATGGAAGTCAATGCAAAGGCCCCACAAAGATAGCAAAACAAACCTGTGTGTGTGTGTGTGTGCGTGTATGTATAATATACATGCACACACAATATAGGGCAGCACGGTGGCACAACTGGTAGAGCTGCTGCCTCTCAGCGAGCAGGTCCTTGGTTCAAACCCCGGTCCAGGGGCCTTTCTGGGTGGAGTTTGCATGTTCTCTCCGTGCATGCGTGGGTTTTCTCCGGGTACTCCAGTTTCCTTCCACAGACCAAAAACATGCATGTTAGGCTGATTGGTAACTCTAAATTGTCCCTAGGTGTGAGAGTGAATGGTTGTTTGTCTCGTTTGTCTCTATGTGTCCCTGTGATGGACTGGAGACCTGTCCAGGGTGTACCCCGCCCCTCGCACAGTGATTGCTGGACATGGGCACCGACGACCCCCGTGACCCAAAATGGAAGAAGCGGGTAAAGAAAATGGATGGATGGATGGTGTGATTGTGTCTGTGTATGAATGGGTATTTGTTAGGCCGAGACTCGGACTGCCCCCTCTTTGATACAACTGGGGGTGCTTGGCATCGAGCCCCTATCGCGCGGCCCCCTGGTGGGGTGTGCCCTTGCCTGCCGGCGCGCTTGGGGCCCTTGGAGTCGGGGGCTGGGCGCTTGGGCGTGTGTCGGCTCGGCCTGGTGTCTGCCTGGTGGGGCTCGGGTCCTCTGGCCCTGTCAGGCCTTGGCCTGGGTGGTGTGGGTCCTCAGTGCCCGGGCCTCCGTGCCCGGGCCTGGACCTGCATCGGTGCGGCGGGTTCCGGCGGGGGCCTATGAGTTTGTCGCTGTTGGCCCCGGGGGGTCACTGTTGTGGTCGCTGGTGGGGATCTTCCGGTTCTCCCCTGTGGTCCGATCTGGGGGGTGGGCGAGTGGTTCGTCCTGTGTGGGTGGCTCTGGGAGCTCCGCTGTCGGGGTCCCTCCTGGGGTCTTGGGCTCTGGTCCCCCCTTTTTTCGTCTGCCTCTGGTCTTGGGGGTCGGGTCTCTGCTGCTTCACAGTTACTAATAAATGTTCTATTAGAGAAGCCTTATACACTTATGCATGCTCACAACCACACACAAATAGAAGCAGGGATGCTTATTTAGGCTTTATATGTAGATATATAGATATGTATGTGAGTGTATATTCATGTGTATGTATGTATGTATGTATATAGGCGTAGGTATGGGTATATATATTTATGGAAACTTACTGCAAAGCCATGAATATTTTAAGTTCTTTATACATATGTATTTTGTTGCTGTGTTTTGTCATGTTCTTTGCAGGTGAACAGACAGTGGCCGGATATTTTGCCGTGTGCTCTCTTTGTGTATATTTCTTATATTTTGGAATCTTACTTTGTCTTTTCTTTCTTTCTATCCTATTAAAAAAAAAAAAAAACCTACACTAGATAATCACTAGAATAAATATTTCATAATAATGGTGTGGAGAGGATGGCTGTAAGGGGAGAAGGGAGACACAGAATGTGATGATTTCAAGCTCCCTGCCTCCGGTTGTACTCTGCCACCTGCCAGAGCTTCTCTTGCAGCTATGGGCTGCACACAGGTGCAGCAGGTGCTAAATAATTTTAAATAATTTATTTTAAATAAAAATACCATGTCAAATGTGTGGCTCATCCATCAATAAATCAATTGTGTGTCATGTCCTATCTTAGTTTTAAAAACCACGATAAAGCAAGTTTGCGAAAACCGAACTGCGAAGTAGCGAGGGACTACTGTGAAAAGAGTTTAGAATGACTAATGATCTGAAATATACATCATCATCCATGGAAACCATGGATGGCAGCGTGATGCTACAAAACAAAAGGTTAAAATATGAAGAAGTTTTGAGAGTGAAGTCCAGGAAGTAGACTGGACCACTGTCATTCTGTAAGACAACAAAGCATTGTGTGAAACTATTCTAGTTGGGTTTTAAAGATTCCGCCTTTTACTGAAGTGGAAACTTGAGTGGCCGGAATTCAAGGAGGAAACCAAAAAGCCTTCTGACAAACCTTCGGGTTGTTTGGAAAGAGGATTCAATGTGAGTCTGTCTTTGTTTGGACTGTGGTGGTGGTCTAAGGACCACATGTCAGGGAATCCCACTGTTCAGCCTCACAAAGAAAGTTCTCTTCAATCATCAGACATCTAACTCGAGTTGTAAAAAGGAGAGGGTCTAGTTTTGGAACCTCTGTGTCGCGTTCTGTTTTTTTTGCAAATGATGTTGGAGTCTTCAACCATGACCTTCATCATGCACATGGGTGGTATGGACTTGACTGAGATGAATCTGTTCTTCTAGGTCTGAGGCCATGGTTCTCAGCGGGAGAATGGTTGAAGATCAAAGTCCCAGATGAAGAAGTTTGTCTAAGTACAAGAGTTTAAGTATCTTGAGTTCAGATGGACAAACAAACAAGGACTTTGTCTTCATATGGATCATGACCAATTGAGGACTGGATACAAGTGTCTGAACTAAGCTACCTCCGTAGAGGAAAAATAAAACAAGGACTTCAGACATCCATCTCAAATCATCTCTGAAGCTCAAAGTAGAGCCACTGTTCCTTTTGATCGGAAAGTGACAGCTGAGGTATATCTGGTATTTGACCAGGATCTCTCCTGCCTTCTTCCCTTTGGAGTTTTTTTTGTCATGTCCCACTGGGATGAAACCCAAGGTCAGACCCAGAACTCTCTGGAGTGATTATAGAGCTCTTCTGGGATGGGAGCTCCTCGGGATCCCTCAGGAGGATCTGGAGAGTCTCTTGAGACAGAGGGATGTCTGTGAAAAAGAAACAGTGGTGCTCTTTGTGGGCAAAGAGAAGATGAAAAGTGTTGGCTCACGTAAGGTACTTTGACTTTATTGTTTCAGTTTCTAGAACAGAGTATGAAATATTGTATTTAAAAAAGTTAAAAAAGTTAAAAGAGCCTTTTAGATGAGCTTGGATGGTCAGGTTCCCTGAAAAGATCTTGGGTTTGCAGCACTAGTTCAGGACTTCAGAGGGTTACTGAGTGGTCCCAGCTCATAGATCAGCTCTATGCCTGGTTTGATGACAGTTTTCTGGACCTTAATGTCAAGAAACCCAAGGAGCTTTGACTGGGAGGTAAACTGGGAGCAGCCAGCACCAGATCTGTATTTAGACCTTCTGTTATAAAAGAGCAGGAAGTAGCGCAGTGACTGAATTTAAATACCTCGGAACAATAATTGATACCAAGTTGACCGTTCAGCCCAACACTGACTGTATTTACAAAAAAGCCAGACAGCATCTCCACCTTCTATATAAGCTAAGGAGCTTTAATACTAGGAAAAATATCTTGCAGTTGGTGCACAGGTCACTGGTTGAAAGTGTTTTTCCTTTAATCTTGTCTCATGGTATGGGAACCTCCTAGCCTGAGACAGGAACAAGTTGTCCCGGGTGGTCAAACTAGGTAGTAAAGTCATTGGTCAACAACAAATGCAACCTGCAGACCTGTACGGTCAGGCTCTAGAAAAACAGGAAATACTGTTTTAAAATGAGCCAGCTCATCCACTGCAACTGTTATTCAGGTTGGTACCATCTGGCAGAAGACTGCTGGTTCCTCTGGTGAAGAAAAATGGGTACAAGAAGTCATTTGTCCCCTCTGCTGTGTGTCTTTCATAGAGTCCTATTTAAACATAGCCTCACATGACAAACCATTGTCTAAGATGTTTTTTAATGTGTCATGCCTTATAGAATCAGTTTTATTGGGTTAGCTAAGCTTTTTAAGGTTTTATGGCAGTTTTATATGAGCCAGATGTCAAAGATAAATCTCCATCTCATGAAATGTTATGGACAATAAACTTATACTGATTGAATGATGGATTGATCGATTGATTAAACAATTGCAATGAACTTTAAAAACACATATTTTACATCTTAAAAACGTCCACGTGTCAAATAGCCATAAGGAAATACACTTTTGTTCAGAAAAGATGTGACTGCCCTCCTACAGGCATGAGTCTTTTCTTAGACAGTGTATGTCAATGTGTGGTTTCACCTGTAAGTTTCAGTCAACATGCCAAGCTATGAACTCTGAGTCCCACAGACATGCAAGTGAGGCCAGTACCTGTGTAAGTCTTGGACTGGGGTGCACTGTGGGTTCTGGATGACCAGGTTGGGGTTCCTCCACCTGTCCATTCTTCACTGACTCCAGTGCAGTGGTAGTTGAATCCAGACTGCATTTGGGGGTGGAACGTGGACTTGCCTGGGGGCTTGTCTCGTTGTTGTTGTTCTGTTTTATTAGGGTACTCTTTATTAGACCGGGAGTTCTGGAAAAAAAGGGACAGAACAAATTTATTTAGAGGATCAGATTTTTGAAAAATGCCACACGGTTCAGTTAACCAAAAAAAGAAAAAGATTATTATAGAAAAGTGAAGCTATCAGTTGAATTCTTACTTTACGCCCTTCTTGTCTTTCTTCTCAGGTTTGTGTTTGGAGACCCGACTCCTGGAGGCTAAAGAGATGTTGATGTATAAGACAGTCATGATAACCACAGGGAGGTAGAAGGCAGCTATGGCTGTTCCAAATGTCACCGCAGGGTTGGACAGGAACTAAAGAAAGAAGACAATAAATAACAGAACAGTGAATATTGTCATTTATACAGATCATAAACATGGACTCTAAATGTAATGGTGCTGTGAAAAACTGGCAGAGTGGCTCCAATAGAACTTGGGAACAACCTCAGAGATCTTTATCCGAAGAGTGCAGTCCTGGGAACAGCTAAGATACTGAACAGAACCCTCTGGAACTCCACCTTCTGGTAGAAGACCCAAGTTTGAAGTGAAGTGAAACCACCCAAGTGGAAGAGTAGGGCTAGCTGTGTGTAATTTTTTTCACTATCTATTCATCCATCCATCCATCCATTCATCCAACCTGCCTGTTCTGGAGTCAGGTCTGGGGGGGCAGCATCTTGAGCAGGGAGGTCCAGACATCTCCCTCCACAGCCATCTATTCCAGGAGGACCCCAAGGTGTTCCCAGCCCAGCTGATAGATATAGTCCCTTCAGCATGTCCTAGGTCTTTCCTGGGATCTCCTCACAGTTGACCATGCCTGGAGAACCTCCCTAGAGTCATGGGAACGGCTAAGCTACATCTAATATCTCTAACAGCTCTAACGGTGACCTCTTCCACTTGGGTGGTTCCACTTCACTTCAAACTCGGGTCCTCAACCAGAAGCCTGTGTTCCAGAGGGTTCTGTTCAGTATCTAAGAACTGAGGATGAGGTGAGGATGTCCAGGAAGCATCCTCACCAGATGTCTGAACCACCTCAACTGGTTCCTTTCGATGTGGAGGAGCAGTGGTTCTACTCCGAGTCTCTCCTGATAACTGAACTTTTCACCTTGTCTCTAAGGGAGAGTCCAGCTACCCTGCAGAGGAAACTCACTTCAACCGCCTGTATCCGTGATCATGTTCTTTCGGTCACCACCCAGAGTTCATGGCCATAGGTGAGGGGAGGAACGTAGACTGACCGGTAAACAAAGAGCTTCACCTTACAGCTCTGCTCCCGCTTCACCACAACGGACCAGTACAGAGTCCACAATACTGTGGATGCTGCACCAATCTGTCTGTCAATCTCATGCTCCATTCTTTCACTAGTGTACAAAAACCCTGAGATACTTGAACTGCTCCACTTGAGGCAGAACCTCACCCCGTTTTACTTTATTCATGTTTCTTTATTTTGAGCAAGTGTCTGTGCTTGTAGATGTAAGTCAGGGATAATCTCCCCACTCAATTATTAGATTATTAATTACAGCTGAACTAATACCTAATTAATTAGAAATAATATTTGACCATACAGCAGTAAGGTCAACGTGAATCAATATGAGGTTATGTTACATAACAGGTTATGGACCCAGGTGAGATGGAAATTAGAGAAGATCAAGATGATTGGAAGAAGTTTAAGGCAACAAAGTAACACGACAAAGTTGCACGTGGGAAATGAGCGCATCAAAGCTAATCAGCTAGCTTAGCAGTAAAAGAAGTATAGCAAGCTAGTGCTTCCGACCCAATGGCGAACAGAGGAGCAAATATCTGTGTATCCCCGCTCTTATTCGATGGAGGTGAAGAGGAAGATGACTTATGGGAGACGAGATTTCTCGCCATCCTGCTTATACCCAACATGGATGATGAAGGACGACTAGCTGAGGACAGACAGAAAACTGTGCGGACTGTTGTGCAGAACTAGGTAAGGTCCTGGATGATAAAAGCCTCTTGCTGATAAGGCACAAAGCTGGAGATGATGGTAGGAAAGCTCTGAAAAAACATGATGCAGGGGAAACAAGCCACGAATAATAAATCTGTACATGTCACTGATGAAGCTGCACGTGGCAAGCACAGAGAGCGTCCCAGAGTATATACTGTGATAAGAGCAGAGAGCCTCATTACAGCTGTGAGAGGTGCTGGTGAGAGCATGAGGCATGGACTGGTAGTGGTCACGGTGTTATATGGACTACCAAAATCCTTCAATCCGCTTGCTCTTCACATAACACAAGACGGGGATGATGTTACATATACAGACTTTAAGAGACTCAACTAATTGTCTACGGAGAAACTGAAAGAATGAAAACAGCATTCTACTGACAGCGTAATGAAAACAAGGCACAACAGAGGTTTCACTAACACAAGCAGCGAGAAGAATGAAGATGCAAGCGTGATACGCTACAAATGTGGAACGAAAGGACATAAAGCCAGAAGATGTGTACAGAAGGTGTGGTGCAACTACTGCAAAGGCAACACACGCAAAGAATTGTTGTGCAAGAAAACGGGGAATCAAGATGGAGTTGGACAAGTTGCAGAAGACCAACAAGGACACCAAGACCATTTCTTCAAAGTCGAACACACGCAAAACCAGAAGCAACCAGATAACGTGAAGATGAAAAGCATCATGGTGGATGCCGGTGCAACTTCCCGCATTGTGAATGACGTCAGAAAGTTTAAGCTTTGATGAGACGTTCCAGCCCAAGTCACACTCTGTGGAATTAGCTGACGGGACCAAGTGTACGGGAATGGCACAGAAAAGAGGAAGAACCACGGACTGGACCAGTGGTTCCCAACCTATTTTCCTCAAACACCCCACCTCTTACTTCCTAGCCAGTGTGAGCCCCCAATCCCTCGCTCTCCCAAAAGACTCATTCAGATTAATCTCATCATCAAACTGATAAAAGAACAAAGTAAATATTATAAGTAATATTACAAGTAATAGTAGTTAAATATAGAATAAAGTGAATAGTTACAAACTTTTATTTATAAAAGCTATAAACTGATAGTTGTACGTCACTACCTGCTCTGTCAAAGGCTCTCTGACGTCACTGGACCTTTTCACAGTGCCAACTGCTTCTGAAAGGATTTCCGACTTTCACCAATAATAATATTAACGTATGTTCTCAACTAGGGGAAAATGTTCTTATGTTGTCAGAAAAATGACTCGTCTGTGTGTTTTACACATTTAAACATTCACACCTGCATGTGCTTACGGTTATGTTATATATTTAATAAGACGTGAGCTTAGCCAGGACCTCTTCCTACGTCTGCACGCACAGAACTGACGTCATAACAAACCGCTCTTAAAGTGACAGCACAGATTTTAGTTTTTAACTTAATACGTTATAGAAAACTCTTAAAAAACAAAAAAAATGAGGGTTCTTCAGTGTTCATCAGGATTTGGTTCAATTTTAAACATTACAATTATAAAATAAAAGCATATCTTTTAATGTTGTTACACAGAGGTTGTAAAAATATCCATTTATGTGGACACCCCCCCCCCCCCAATGGGGGTTGGACCCCCCCAGGTTGGGAATTACTGTACTGGACAACACAGAACAGTCTCACAAACCACAGCTGAGGGACGCACTCTACGCACCTTCTTACCTCATCACTACATCTTCTCAGTGGCAAGAGCAAGAAACGGAGGAGCGATCATCACGTTCAAGAAAGGGGACAGTTCCATGACCATCAATGATGGCAGCAGGTTTGACAGTAATGAAAGTGAAAATCTCTATTGTTTACCCACTGTTGAAATGAGCCATGATCAGTGTGTCATGATATGCAAACTTGACATGAAATATTGGGTCGTTGCAACTACGAAGGTGTACGAAAGCTTCAAGGTGTAGTAAAAGGCATGGAGATGAAGGGAAGTGTGATAAAATCAGATAATGTTTGTGAAGTGTGTTCACAGGGAAAATTCATACAGAGCAGGAATAGGGAACCCGGCAAAAAGGCAAAGAAACCTTTAGAACTGGTGTGTGTACTTTCTTAAAAGCAAAAGCAATGTGATCCAAGCTACAGAAAGGTTCATAGCAGACACATCACCTTATGGTGGAATCAGGTGCATTCGTTCAGACAACGGCGCCGAATTTACAAGGCGAGATTTAAAAGCACTGCTAACTAAGAACAGGATCAGACATGAAACCTCAGCACCCTATTCACCTCACCAGAACGGCACAGCCAAAAGCGGGTAGAGTACTCTTCTCTGACATGAGTAGGTGCATGCTGATAGAAAGCAACTTACATGTTAAACTATGGAACTATGCAGTATGCATAGTAGTATATAGTATATATAAGTACTTAGTTATATATACTATAAGTATATACTACATAGTATATATAACTGCAGCATACGTTAGAAACAGGTGCTACAGCAGAAGCACAAAGAAAACTCCATATGAGCTTTTCACAGGTAAACAACCTAATGTGTCAAAACTGAAAAAAATTGTCTCAACATGTTCTGCTTACAAGCAAAAATAAAGGAAAATTGGATTCCAGATGTGAGCGAGGTGTTTTTGTTGGTTATGATAAGAATAGTCCAGCTCATCTAGTGTATTATCCAGACACAGAGAAGGTTGTAAAACACAGAATGGTAAAGTTCCAAGTCAAAACAGCTAAGTATCTTGGGGTCTTGTTCACGAATGAGGGAAAAATGGAGCGTGAGATTGATAGGCGGATAGGTGCAGCGTCTGCAGTGAAGCGGGCGCTGTACCGGTCTGTCGTGGTGAAGAGAGAGCTGAGTCAAAAGGTGGGTGTATGGGTTTGGGGCCCCGGGGGGGTTGCCGGGGGCTGGGCTCTTGGGGGTACCTGGGCAGGGGGGCACTGCTTTCCCTCTGGGGAGGGCCTGGGTGGTTCTGGGGGATGTCTGCTGGTGGCTGCATGCAGGCCCTCAGGTGGTCTATGGCGGCGGTCGTGGGTCACCGATCTGGTAGCCTGGCTGTGCTGATGTGGGTTTGGGGTGGGCGCGGGGGCTTGGGGTTCTGGGGGCTTGTCGCCCCCGGGCTTGGGCCTGTGGGGTTCGGGGATCTTGGGCTCTGGCGGGCAGGTTGCCGGGCTCTGGGCCGGCTTGCGCTCTGGTGCCCGGTTCTGGGCGGGGGCCTTCGGCTCGCTGGTGGGTTGTGGGTCATGGGCTGGGGGGTTGGGTGTTTGGGGGCGTGACCAGTGGCCCCTAGGAGGGGGTAGTTTGACCCAGCCTAGGTGTCTAGTGTGCTATGTGTTTTGAGAGATGTCCGAATGAGGGGTGGGTGTAGTATTTCTTCTGGAGTGGGGATGGGGTGGATGTCCTTGGG